TAATCGTTTAAATCTAATTCATCTACAAGTCTAAAATCAGTAGTAAATGTCGTTTAATATCTGCAGAATTTGTTTGTTTCTAAAATCAGCAATCCTTCTTTAAAATCAGTAGGCTTTCTGCAATGTTAGTATCATGATTCATGCCTCATTTAGGCAAACCAGTAGGTAATTAATCAACTATACCAGTCTTTAATAATTACAACCAGCAGGCAGGTCTAATTCGGACTTCTTATCTGAAAATATGTGATATATCAGCCACCCTTCCTACGTTAAGTTTAATTAAAGACCTAACCAGTATTTGTAAGCCATGCTAAATAATTTGCTGCTTTGAATGAGGAGGCCTACTTGAGCCTTAACTGCTATGTGCTTCCCCATAATCTGCCTTACGTGTTTTTGTTTGTCGCTCTAGAATTTTATCCTTTTAAACCTTACAAAACCCACATCTCCCTTCCCTTTAGGACTAGTAGTCCCAAATGCCTCCGGGACTGATAGGATCGGGGCGGGTACTAGCATGCAATAAGTAACGAAACCATTCCGCGTTTAATACCTTAACGGGGTCGGAAAGGGTAGATATGGATATGATGGCCTGTGCGCTAATACCACGTGTAGCCCCTCTTTGAGGAGTGATTACCGGGTATTGCATTGATGTGATCCATATTATTTGTAAACCTAGGACCCCCTTCCCTTTATTTGTTTATTTATCACTTTTCAGAATTTTCAAGCTGTTTTCTCAAAATTCGAGTCCCTTTCTGTTTTCTTCAAACTTTAACTTATCTGCAAACTTTAATATGACAATCCTTCATATTTGAAGCCCTTATTTGCTTATTTGTTACTTGTACTTGAAGTCACAATTATAACATGGCCGGGAACCACACTAGTGGATCTTGAGAGGTGCCTAACACCATTCCCCTCGAGATAATTTCTAGCCCTTACCCAAACTCTGGTTTTTCAAACTCAAACCCTTCTTAGTGTCCTAATGCACTTAATCATTAGGTGGCGGCTCTTCAAACTCCAAAACCCAATTCCCAAAAGGGAAAAGAGTTGTCCGTCCAAATGTCGTAAACCCGATTTCGCGAGGAAAAGGGGGCATCGACAGCTTCCAATGTCCTTAATTATCGGCCCCATACATATTTTCTCTTTTTCAACTAACATACACGATATGTTAGTAGACGATCCCGTGGGTATGAATCATATCTTTTCTATACATCATTCTTCTTTATTGCTTCCGATTCCCAAGCAACCTATCATCATAATATTGGTCCACGTGGTGAGTTTATTTTTCACGAATACAAATTTGAAGGGATACCACATGCTACAACCCAACTAAGCAGATGAAATTGACACTAGAGTACTGATTTTAATATATGTCTAAAATGTGATTCTTGAAAGCCTCATGCTGATTTGGCACAAAGAGTGATTTTCACTAAGAGTATAGCATGAGAGTTTCTTCTTCTTCTTACCTTTATCTCCTCGCTACCGCTACCACATCTCTACCATCTTTTCGGTTGGTAACCCGTCAAGGAGCTTCTTTTCTCTTTTTTGTGCCTCGACCCAACTCCAAATAATGGAGCCAAAAGCGTGATGATTCTGCTATTGGGAGCTCTTATGTCTGAAGCTAACATTCAATAGAATAGAGAGATGATGCTGTGATGGGATTAGACAGATGATTATGTGTAGTTTATTGGTTCTTTTTGTGTTATGCTTAGGTTTTTTTTTCCATGAGAGTATTATGGGAGATGACGACCGTCAATTTAATGAAAAGAAAATTTTATTAAAGTGAATGGAGAGTGCGGACGACGAATATGGTAGAGATCGGGTGACTATCTACTATTGAGGTCAATAAAGTGATTATAATGACTGAAAATATGGAAACAATTTTTTCACGTTCATAATGCCATCTTCTCTTATTTAGCCTAGAGATACCCTAATAGGTAGAAACAACTACTCCATTTCTCCACTTGAGTTTCTTTGCAATAGAGCATATTCTCACTAGTCTCTTCTCCATTATTCACAACAAATTTTCATAATTTTCAATTTTTACACTAAAAACCTAATGAGAAAAGCATAAAATTTCATTATTCACAATTTAAGTACTAAAGTTTTCAGTTTGGCTATAAACAGGTGCCGAGAAAAGCAAAAGTTTTGTTTCTACAGCTAGATGGTTGGTAATGCCAAAGAATTAGCAGAGGAAAAAAAAAGAAAAAGAAGAAAGTAGAATGGGAGTAATCACATGTGTTCAGCAGTGTTTTAAAAGTCGGGGCCGTGAGGCGAGACGTTTTACCTTTGACGAGGCGAGGCGTAAGCCTTGAGACATGGTGCGTAAGTCCCATGGATCTTTAAATTTTACTAGTTTGAAAAACTTTAAGACAGTATAAAATAAAAAATAATTATAAAAATTACATTAAAATCACAAAATTATAACAAATAATCTATTTAAAATATTTATATATTATAATTCAACTATGAATAATACGAAAAGTATGACAAATATCATAATATGCAAATTAGCTGCAACGTCGTTACCACTCAAACATCAAAAGTAATGTATTCGATACGAAATCTTATATGTATCTCTTAAGGAGTAATGAATCTTGAAAGAATTTCGATATTATAATTTGATATTTTTCTTAAAATACTCCTTTTATTTAATATGCTTTCTATTTGAAAGAGAATTTATATAAAACATAATTCATAATTTAAATATGATTCTCCAGCTTCATTTACTTTTAAGTTTCAACAAGTTAATAAAGTGACACATAATTCACCATACAATACCATGATAACTAAGTATTTGAAAATAGTTACTAGCTAATACTGATCTATTAAATTAATAAGTATTGTATATCGTAAACATGAAAAAATATTAGAAAAATAATTATAAAAACAGTTATAGACTATTATATAGTAAAGACATAACAAAAGTTAATAAATAAATACTTTTTAAATGAAAGATTTATTTAAAATTAACTATCATAGCCGTCTTAGTGGATAACGTGCAATAATTTTTATTTTAATTATGACATAAAATACTCTCAACTTAATGATCTATGATTACGAAAAAAAAAATTTTGAATAGTCAATGATTTATTAAGAAACTTTGAGGATTTACAAGGTTAGCATAAAGTTCTATTAGGCGAACCCAGTACGATGGGCGTTGGGCGTGTCTAGGCGTATGCCCCGATGACCGAGGCTTAAGTCTCACGGAACTAAGCCCCACACATAAGCCCGGGGGCGTTTTACGAGTGTTCGGCCCCAGAGCTAGCCCGGGCGAGTCTCAGTTCTGCCTTTTAAAACAGAGGTGTTCATTTAATTTGATATTTTGCAACATCAGTCGCGTGCAGATATCGTGCGCTTTACTTATATTTTATGTCTAATAAGTAAAGGCGGATCAGGGATTCAAAGTTTATGGTTAAAATAGCACGGTCTAGCTAGTTTTCGGACTGGTCATTCAAAAATAGCCAGCGTTTACCAAGTCAATGAAAAATAGCCACTATTTTGCTGCAACAGAGACCGATCAAGCATAATATATTGGAGTTCGGTACACCTGTGTATGAACTTCCAGCATATTATGCTGGAACTTCAACACACGGAAAGTTCCAGCATAATATACTGGAGATTCGAGCACTTGTGTATGAACTTCCAGTATATTATACTGGACCGGTATACTTTGCTAGAACTCCAGTATATTATGGTGGAGTTCTAGTGTACTTATGCTGGAACTCCATCATATTATGCTAGAGTTCCAACATACTTATCCTGGAACTCCAGTACAATATGCTGGAGTTTAAGTATACTTATGCTGGAACTCCAACATAATATACTGGCGTATTTTTCGGGTTTTGAAAGTGTTTTCGCTCAGATTTATCTTTACATAAAAAGTGGCTAGATTACGATTACTTTTGAAACTGGGCTATTTTTGAACGACCACTTGTAAATCTGGCTATTTTTGAATTGCTTCAACTTTATGGTTTTTAATTGAACCCATTATATTTTAAAGTTATGGGTTCAGATATACTACACATAAATTTATACTCCGCGTCAAAAGTTATGGGTTCAATTGAACCCGGCTCTTTTACCTTGCATCCGCCCCTGATAATAAGCAACATCTTAGTTGGGGTATTTAACAGCTTGTTTGGATGGTTATTCCCCATTGTATCGTATTGTATTGTTATCCCAAAACAATGTTTGTTTTGATTGTTTCATTAAAATTGGTTGTATTGTATTGTTAAATCCATTGTTCTAGAACAATAAAAAGTCCTTTTTTTGAAACAACCGATTTGGTGTGGTGGGATTGTTTCCTATTTTTCTTTCCAATTATGCCCTAACTTATTACTCCACAATTCTATTTTATGCTTTAGCTTTTTTTGCTATTTTAACTCCAAATCTCCAACCTATAACCTACTTTATTTTTTTCCAGAACTTTTGCTGCCAACGTTAAAGGTGTTTTGCCACCTTCTGTTTTATTTTTTCTCCTAATTTGCTTTTAACTCAATTCTAATTAGCTGTGCTCCTTTGTTTTGCCTTCTTCTGTCTCGCTCCTTTGTTCTGCTTTTTTCTTAAGGTGGTTTTGCCTTCTTCTACTTTGTTTTTTAAAATTATTTTTATGCATATTTTTTGATAAATTTAATATTTAAAAGGGTATTTTAGTAAATTTATCAGTTACAGTACCAAATAGCAAAAAATTATTTAACAATATGAAACAATACAATCTATCCAAACATTGTATTCATAAAACGATACAATACAATACGATACAATATAATACAATATATTATAAATGATGCGGAACAATGATCCAAACAGAGTATACGTGAAAAAAATACGATAACTTTAGGGCTGTTTATGTATTTGACAATTTAAAAATTATTTAATTGTACATAATCAACACATACTTTTGTAAGAATTGATTTGCTAAATATCTAGTTGGCATTATCCACAAAAATATTCTTGTCACCTGTATCATCGTACATAAAGCGTATTGTGCTATGTGCAACAGCATTTGTACATTGCGCAGGAAAGTTTTAAGTTTTGCATTGTCAATTCCCAAATTGATCCTATCCAAATTCAGCAAGACTACCTTAAACCACAATGCTTTCTGCACCAAGAGCACCACCACCGGCGGTGGCGGTGGCGGCGCCCGCACGTTTCAAATTCCAAAACGTATGTGGGAATCCTGTTAATCTTCTTCTGCTGCACAGAAATGTTGGTAGCAGTTGCAAAAGGGTGGTGGTTTCAACTAAAGCTGCTTACAGTCGTATGCCAATGGACACACCAGGGGCTTACCAGCTCATAGATAAAGAGAGTGGAGATAAATTCATAGTATGGGGAGGTACTGAAGATGACGACTCTTCTATCCCTTCCAAGGAAGTTCTCTCATGGAAACCTCTCGCTTCTACTTCTCCTGACAACAACCACCCTCCTCCAACTCAGAGTAGCAGTAATGAAGGTAAAATGAAGCTTGTAATTTTAGTATTGATAGAGTAAGGGAAAAAAAGTAAAAGACGATATTGTTTGTTTCAGTCTGATTTCTACCAATGGGCAATTTTGTGCGTGTATGATGTTGGATCTTAAGCTTACGCTTTTTTTGGTGTATTAGGTTTTTAATTTCCAAAGTGAGCGATACAGTATAGAGGAAAGGGATGTGTAGTGCTATTTACAGAGTATATGCAACAATCTTCCTTTGCTTACTTATGATTATCTGTCCTCCTGTAGAGTGAAGTACTGAGTTCACTGTGCTTAAGATTGCAACTTATGCAGTCTTTTATTTATCAATTGAGAAGAAAACATATGTGCCATATTTTATTAGGTACTCAAATTATCAGATGGTTTACATCATCTGCTGATTATAACACGAGCTTTGAGGGATTAAAACTGTCATAACGTTCAGGATGTGTATTACTTTATAGATATATATTGGTCGCTCTTATAAATCTCCAAATGTGTTGTATGGAAATTCTTTCCTATTCTTTTCTTCTATTTTTGAAGTTCTTTCTTACGGCTCTGCAGCTTCGACTAGGGGATTAACAGGGAATTTCGGCAGACTGAAATTTAGAAGAATGAGAGATCTAGTAAGAAAAAGCTACACAAAAAACAAAGAACGCGATGTTATTGATCACGACAAACACAATACTACAGATGCCTCTTCCCGATCATCATTCAGTTCATATAATGAACCTGGTCAGTTAAAAGAGCAACAAACGCTTAGTCTTCCTAGAGGTCGTGCCAAAATTCAGCAGCTAGAAGACAGAAAGAATTCCCAAAAATTAATCAGAGTGGAAGACGAAGATAGAGATATAGCTATCGAAAATGTTAGCAAACATTTCGCAGGCTATAGCAGTGATTCTCATGCACACTCTGCAAGAGTAGTTCATCCTGGATCAAAAGCTTCGGCTTCTCCCTTACGTGGATGGGGTGGGGGATCAAGTCATTACAGTCTTAAGAGGGAAGAAATTTTCAGACAAAGGCGAAACTTGGATGATGAAAACAATTTCTTTAGTAGAAAATCCTTTCAAGAGTTGGGATGCAGTGACTATATGATAGAATCCTTAAGGAATCAGCACTTTGTGCGCCCTTCACATATTCAGGTAGATAATTTACTTTATTTTGAGCATGGAATGGTCAATACTCCAGGTTACCTCATTGCTTTGTGCAATTCTGATGCATAATAGCGGCTAACATGCCAACAGTCTCGTGGATATGGTAGTCTGAATTGCATCATCAATATATCTGTCTTGGTATCTTTACCTCTGCTTCAATTGGCTAGTACGTGCCCTCTGAATAACCTGCTTTTAAAATATTTCTTTTGGATATTTTCAAGTTATTCTTGATTTCGTATTATGATTCCTTTGATGCTTCTTATCTGTCTTTAGATGGCTATCCCTAGTCCCCATGTATTATTTTGAGAAATCTCTATTTATGCTTCTTACAAGCAGTAATGATAGAGTACTTGCAGGCCATGACATTTGGACCCATCATTGCTGGAAAGAGCTGCATAATATCTGATCAAAGTGGATCTGGAAAGACTTTGGCATATCTACTACCACTTATTCAACGTCTTAGGCAAGAAGAACTTCAAGGACTTAGCAAACCATCATCTCAAAGTCCTCGGGTTGTAGTACTGGCACCAACAGCTGAATTGGCTTCTCAGGTCTGTCAAATTTCCTCTTCCATTAAAGGAACATTTGCCACTTATTCCCCCTACTGTTCGGCAACCACACACACGAAAAGGAAGAAATAAATGAGAGAAAGAGAGAGAAGCATTAGTCGATTACCAGCTCATAGCTTTATGGTTGAGACATCAACTTCGCCTAAATTGGTGTGAGAAGTGCGTTACAATATATTTTACACTAATTTCCTAGCCAAAGGTCCCATGCTATATTCTCTTAATTTTCATGGCACGTCTTTAATGTAAAACATTTACTGCGTTTCTACCATCTCTAAGGGAAAAATTCAATTAGCCATTATGGTTTTTTAATAATGAATTGGTTGGGTGATGGTAGTAGAGTAAGCTTTTGGGGGACATAAATAGTGTGGAGGTAACACTTTGAGTAACATGTACAAGATTTCGTGCCAAAAGAAGATGTCGTTTCAAAGCATATGGAGGATACAAGGTGGAGATACGCATTGTGATTTGAAGTTTAGGAGGAACTTGCAAGACTAGGAGTTCATTCGATTCCAGGGATGGATGGAGTTGCTCAACAAGCAGAATACTTGTCACGACCCAAAATCCCTCCAAAGGTCGTGATGGCGCTTAACCTGCTTGCTGGGCAAGCCAACACTCAACAACAATAATATGATTCAACTATTAAGCCTTTAACTGATTCATGATATAAATAACAAGGCGGAATAAGTTCAGATATAACAACAACAACAACATACCCAGTAAAATCCCACTAGTGGGGTCTAGAGAGGGCAGAGTGTACGCAGACCTTACCCCTGACCCGGAAGGGTAGAGAGGCTATTTCCGGGAGACCCTCAGCTCAACAGAAGAGACAATAATATCAGAAAAGAAACGAAAGAAGAGATCTGTAACAACAAAAGAAGCCAGAGAAGTAATAATATCATCTTAAGAGACACCAAATAAATGAAAGGGAGTGCAATAACACAATACTTTGCAAAACAATAAAATAGTGTGAACACAACATAAACCGCTAACAAACATAGACAAAACTCTATCAGACTACCCGGTACAAAGAGGGAAAAACTATCTACTACCCCTTTGCCTACAACCCTAATGCTCAACCTCCACACGTTCCTATCAAGAGCCATGTCCTCGGAAATCTGAAGTCGTGCCATGTCCTGCCTGATCACCTCGCCCAACTTCTTAGGCCGCCCTCTACCTCTTCTCGTGCCTGCAAGGCCAACCGCTCGCACCTCCTAACAGGGGCATCTATGGTTCTCCTCCGCACGTGCCCGAACCATCTAAGCCTCGCTTCCCGCATCTTGCCGTCCACGGGAGCAACGCCTACCCTCTCCCGAATATCTTTATTCCTTATCTTATCCAGTTTAGTAAGCCCGCACATCCATCTCAACATTCTCATTTCAGCTACTTTCATCTTCTGGATATGTGAATTCTTAACTGACCCTGAATCCTAGACAGGGTCTAAACGCGACCACGATTGTCGCACAAGTTCCAAGAACTGGTGTCATAAAATCATCACAAGCATCTAACAAGAGTATATAGTCTAAACTAAACAATAACATCTGTTCGGAAAATGAAAATACACAGACATATATCAAAGAGTAGGGAAGGGGACTCCATATGCTGCAGATCGAATAGAGTAAAACAACTCATCACGAAGTCTCCAACAAAATACTCCTACTCAGCTCAATGGGTACACTAGGAGTGGCAAACGGGCGGGTCGGGTTGGATGTGGGCGGGGCGAAAACGGGTAATGCAAAAAACGGACAAAATACCCGACCCGAACCATAATTAATACGGATAGAAAATGGGTTAATCGGCGGATATTATAGATATAGATATTATTCGTGGCTTCTTAAATATGATCACTTTTGGGAGAATTCCTAGTCTCCTAAACTTGAACCTCCAATTTGAGTCTTTGCAAATGTAAAAGTTAAATCCACTGGTTATTCATTTTTTAAGTGATAATATGGATCATTCATTTTTTAAGTGATAATATGGATCTTATCTATATTTGACCAATTTTTAAAAAATTCATTACCCAACCCATTTTTTAGTGGATAACATGGATGAATAAATATTTTTTTTTATCCATTTTGCCACCACTAGGTACTGCAGATACCATCTTCAGAACCCACACAAAATGTGCAGAAGTGTGGTATGAGTACAAAACTATGATACTTAATAAGTATCAAGTCTAGCCTCGAAGAAGTAGTGACGGTCGACACTGACACTAATAGCTCAATGAGCATATGAAAACATAATTAGAACATGAAATAAAGCATGATACAATCAATTAAGCTCACCAGTAGAAACATGACAACCTCAAATTTAAACATGCTTTTCAAATAAGAGAAAGAATACAATATCAGTTACTCAATTTTTTTCATAATCATGATATGAGTCAGTCAACTTTCATAGATAAATAAGAGCCACTACATGAGTCGAGGCTACTCAACTTTCATAACAGTTCAATGTACTTATTTAACATTTTAAGCTTGATCGCGGCATCAACAAGAGCAAGAAGCCAAAGCCAATAAATCATAAATCAAGTAAGGCAATTGTTTGACTACGACTAAATAGAAAGCCCACACGGTGAAAGTAGCCCATCATATCCGAATCAACAAGTTATAACTCTAGCATGGCTTCTAATCATGATTAAGATTCATCATGTAGTCATAGAATCAAAAAAACATTAATAAACAATTCATAAGGCCCGAATAGGCCTATCATAAGCCTAACTCTGTCCGGCTAAGGTCATAACCTAGCTACCGATATACGCTCATCACCTCGCATATAAGTGGCACCTTAGTCGTGCAACAAGTAGCAAATAGATCACCTATGGGGACAATTCCCTCTTACAAGTATAGACAAGAGATACCTCTTCCCGGTAACACCTTCAACCTTCCAAAATATATTTTCCCTTCAAATCCACCTCCAAACGGCTTGAATCTAGTCAAATATTACTCAAACGAGTCAAATAATGCTATTAAAAATCAATCCCAAACATTAAAGATTTGATCTTTAATCAAATTCCAAAAAATCAACAAAAGTTAACTTGGACCCACATGGTCAAAACCCTAGTCTAAGGGTAGATCCTGACTACCCATAACCCCCAAGTCCAAATATATAAGTAAATTCCAAATCCGAGTCCAAATCGACCCATAAATCCCCAAAATACATCCTCTTAAGTTCATATAAAGACCCTAATTTACATTTTAAATCCTTGTTTTTAGGGGTTAAAATCCTTGGGGAATCAAAATATGTAATCAAATATGGGTAGGAATTACTTACCGTCAAAGTAGTAGTGAAACTTTCCTAAAAAATCGCCTCTTTTCGAGCTCCAATACTCAAAATAATGAAAAAAAAGCTAAACCTCGAAATATAACATGTTGTCAGGCAATTTGCATTTGCGGCCCAAAATATTGCATCTGCAAGACAGCTTCCGCGACCACACGCTCGCATTTGCGAGCTGCCCAGGCTCCTTCTCCGCTTGTGCTCCAGGTCACACGCATCTGCGCCCACAACAAGAAACCCGCAGGTACGACCACCTCTGGCCTGACCAACATGCGCAGCTGCGACCTCTCTCCCCTAGGCGCGACTCTGCAGGTGCTACAAGCACCTCGCTTCTGCGGCATCGCCAACCTAGCCAACATGCGCATCTGCGCACAATGCGCCGCAGGTATGATCATCACACCTGTGCACCTTTCATCGCAGGTGCGGTGGATCAGACACTAGCAACTTCCAAACAACACCAAAATGATTCGAAACTATCTCGAAACACACCTGAGCCCCCATCTAATCATACCAACACCAATTATGCACAATAGCCGCCAACTCCAAATGAATCGAATAATTCTTCTCATGGGGCTTTAGCTGCCGTGACGCATAAGCATATCACCCTACCATCCTGCATCAACACCGTGCCAAGACCGACGCATGAAGCATCACAATACACTGTGTATGACCCTTAACCTGTGGGCAACACCAATATTGGAGTTGTAGTCAAAGCAGTCTTGAACTTCTGAAAGCTTTTTTTTTTTTATGGGTAAAAACTTCTGAAAGCTTTCCTCACACTCATCAGACCATCTAAAAGGAATATCTTTCTGAGTCAACTTGGTCAATGGGGTTGTAGTAGATGAAAATCCCAACACAAAACGATGATAGTAGCCTGCCAAACCCAAGAAACTCCTAATCTCTGTAGCTGCAGAAGCTCTAGGCCAACCCTGAACCGCCTCAATTTTCTTTGGATCCACCTTGGTACCCTCACTAGACACCACGTGGCCTAAGTACGCCACAGAATACAACCAAAATACACACTTGGAAAACTTAGCATATAACTTCTTGTCCCTCAGAATCTGAAGCACAATCCTCAAATGTTGCTCATGCTCCTCCCTACTACGGGAATACACCAAGATATCATAAATGAACACAATGATAAAAGAGTCCAAATATTGCTGGAACACACTCTTTATCAAAAGCATGAATGCTGCTGGGGCGTTAGTCATACCAAAAGACATCACCAAGAACTCATAATGTCCATAACAAGTCCTGAAGGCCGTCTTAGGGATGTCTGAAGCCCTAATCTTCAATTGGTGATAACCCGATCTCAAATCAATCTTTGAGAACACCTTGGCACCCTGAAGATGATCAAACAAATCATCAATACGAGACAATAAATACTTGTTCTTGATAGTGACCTTGTTAAACTACCGATAATTACACATCTTTTTGGAACCATCCTTCTTCACAAACAACACTGGTGCACCCCAAGAAGAAACATTTGGCATGATGAATCCCTTATCCAACAACTGCTCCTGCATCTCATCTGGAGCCATACAGTACGGTGGAATAGATGTAGGCTGAGTGCCCAGCATCAAATCAATACTAAAATCAATATCCCGATAGGTGGCATGCCCGATAGTTCTGCATGGAACAAATCCGTAAACTCCTTTACCACACGGACTGAATCGACAGTGGGAGTCTCAACACTAGTATTTCTAACA